TAATACGAAACGTTAATTATCCCATTAACTGATAGGAATAATGTGGTAAAATAACCAGGTTATTTTTTTTAATAAAAGTGTCAAATTCAAATATCACGAGTGAAAATGAATAATCAAAAAAATAATAATTATCTTGTAAATTAATCGATATATATATATATATATATATATATATATATATATATATATATATATATAAAATTGGCTTTGAAGTGACACTTGAACAAATAATTCAAGCCGCTTAATTAGCATTAACTCACGAGGAAAAACCATAGTATAATGGGGTTTGGTCTAAGAGTTTGGTAGTGATTGACTAAAATCATTTTCATTTTTTTAAATATCTAACTTCTTTTTATTTTTAATTTGTAAAAAAATACTTGTGATTTGTGGGAAGGACTCTTGTGCCATACATGAGAAAAAAATAATAATATTTATTGAAATTAAGAGAACCATAAAGACAAAAAAATTAATATACTTTATGAATTCAAAGTGGCTCTTTATTTTAATTATTGTGTGATTAAAATAGGGAGAAAAACACTTGCCTAATCCAAGTATGGACCCTAAATTTTGTCTCTTCAATAGCATAATGCCTTCACCAAATTGTGCATTATATTTTTGTTGCCTAATTCCCAATTATTATTATTAATATCTCGGAAAAGGATCTAAAATATTAGAAATAATTCAAAACTATCTTCCATCCATCTATTGACTCTAAAATACCATTCTCATTCACATTTGGGTTCAAAATTGACCATTTAATTAACGATTTTAAATTTAAATTATTTAAATATGTGAGGCTCAACTATTAGTTATAATTTAACTTATTAATATAATTTATAAATCCACTTATTAACCACCCACTACTAATTAAACTCCACCCAATTAATAAATTTAACCCAAATCCACCTATTAAACAAAACAACTATTTGTGCTCTTCTCAGCCAATTTCTCCTAGTAAAAAACAATGACAACATCAATAATGTATTAGTATAATTTCAATCGGACTTCCCATAGACAATCCAAATCTAATTGGACGTCCACATCAGTTGAAACTCCGAGTAATATTGATTATACTAGTTTACTGAATTAGCAACACTTATTAAAATTAATTTGTCTAAATCTTTAAAATCAATGGAGGATTTTGTTAAACGTAGGAGAAAGTAACTGAGACGAACACAGTCTTAGAAAGGAAGGGTTCAGGGTTTTGTTTAATAAAGTGGATTTGGGACGGGTTTATTAAATGAGTGGGTAGTTAGTTGGTTTATAAAGTATAAACAAAATTAATTTACCAATATTTGAGCACTAAGTATTTAAAACCGTTAAATATCAATTTTGAATTCAAAGGTGAATGAGAAGGCTATTTTGAAGACAATAGATGGACGAAGGATAATTTTGTGGAAAGCAATTTTTTGAAATTAAACAAATAATTTCTTCCTAATTTGGTAGGGAAAAAAAACAATTTAACTAAAGTTGGGACCCTTTTGTCACATAGCAACTAAGACAGGGGCTCTACCACTAAAATCATAATTGTTTTTGTTACAAACCCTATAGTCCCTCCTAATCATTAGTTTCAAAAGTTGGTGTTTTTGCCTAAATCCCACCTACTTAAACAATGTTTATTGCATTTTAATCAACAAAAGTTTGAACCAATTCCAAATTCTTATTAATTTTTTTTAATGGTATCTTTACCAAATAAAGAATATTTTTATTGGTTTGTGGGTTTTGCACTTTGCACCATGCATGTCGTGCCACATTATGTGACACAAAATATATGTTAGATAAGAAAAAAAAAAAGATAGGAATAATTTTTTCTAAAAGAAAAAAGAAGTTATTTAATGAAATCTTTGCAAAAAGAATCTACTTATAGTGGTTTAGTGAGGTTTCTCATCCATATTTTTTCTTGATATGTCAAAAAAAAAAACAATTATAAATCATTTAATTAGCGATAAAATGAGAAGTATACAATTATATATTATTTATAAATATTAAAATATGTTTTGTCATCAAAAGTATTTTTTAAAAAATATTTTTGAAGAAGAAAATATTTTTCAAAACAGACTATTCAGAAGTTTGACAAACATACTATTATTTTAAACTTTTAAATATATATATGCATATATAAACACTTGTATATTATCATGGGTAAGCACAATTTTTATACATATTATTTTACTTACAAGTTACAACTCACAATGTTTCATTAGTTCATTCAACCTCTATCAAAAATATAAAAACCTAATAAGAAACATGAATTGAGGAAGGAAGCTAAGTTGACTATTTGATTTCACAAAAATATAAAAAAAAAAAACAACAACATGATTTTAGACCAAATATTGATTAAAAATGATAAGAAATGATTAAACATTGTGATTAAAAAAACAAGGTAGTTTGGATAGTCAGTTATTAGTTGACTTTTTATAAATTGACTTTGACAAAAGTTTGTGTTGTATATTTTTTACTACCTTATAATCTTGGTTTGTGCTTAATTAGTTCAAATGAATTTGTACTGGAATCTTTATTTTAGACTTATATTTCCCTGCAAAAGAGTTGGTTGAATATTTTGACAACTTAAAAAGCACAATGCTTAATTTTCATATAAACATGCATGTTATGTGTTTGTTTACATTTATCAAAAAGTCACAATCATCGATGAAACCAAATATTTAAGTTCGGAGTCTAAAAGATATAAAATATTAACAAAAATTTTAAAATGGTATATAAAATTTTATAATAATCAAAACGGTAAAATCGCTGGAACAATAACGATTTACTCCACCAGAAAAAGCAAAATCGCTGCTACTGCAACGCTTTTACAATTTATTTATTTTTTTAAAAAAATGAAAATGCTGCCTAGGCAGCGATTTTCTAAAAAAAATGAAAATATTTTTATAAAAATCAAAAATCGCTGCCTAAAAAGAATAATTGAAAATCGATGCCTAGGTATCGATTTGAATTTTTTTTTAAAAAAAAATTACATTTTGCAAAATCGCTATCGCTGCAGTACAGCGATTTTGCTTTTTCCGGTGGAGTAAATCGTTGTTGTTCCAGCGATTTTGCCGTTTTGGTAGATATAAAATTTTATATACCGTTATGAAATTTTTGTTAATATTTTATACCCTTTAAGCTCCGGAGGATTAGTCAAATTCTCAAGCTATGACTTTAATTTTCTGTTTCATAATATTTGTCATATTCTATTTTTCTAAGAGTCAAATTAAATTTAACTTTAGCTAACAATTAGATATTTTTTAATCATATTATACGAGAGAATTATAACTAGTAATTTTTTATCGTATTTTTTTTTTATAATTTTGAAATAATAAATTAATCTAATCCAACTTAGTTTAAAAGATAAGACAAATCAACTCCCGAAAAGCGAAACTTGACATTTGAGTTTCCCCTATCGTATGTCCACCCCATCTCATCTTCCTTTAATATCTCAATATCTCATACGCATGTGAGAGGAAATCAGAATTTTAAAATTTGACTTTGACAGATTAAATTTTTATAAATCTACCACACATTATATTCATTATTCTTTTAGCTAGTATGATTGAGATTTTTTTTAGAATTTTTACTTGCATATTCATATTACGTTTCATGTAAAAAGTAATGAATTTGGTTAAATTTCTTAGTTTGTTAGCTATATTTGCTATTATTATATTATACTTACAATGATCTTATGTCACTGTGAAAATGCTATTTAAATACTCCCTTCCATAATTAGCAAAAAAATAAAAGGACTAAGACCTTTTTCATATTTGAGAATTATTTAATAATTTTTATTTCATCAATAATAATGATATATGCTCTAATTTGACTAACTTGATACGTTTAAAATTACAAAATTTTGATTATAATTTTAATACAATATAAAAAAAAAAGTATTCAAACAAATACTATAGTATAAAACACATAATGATTATGTTGTATAGCTTTGACATGCCATATGTGTACACATAATCATGAGTTAGAATGCATATTGTGAAATTATATTAGAAAACATAAGAAAATTCAATATCCATTTTTAAAGGAGACAATCAATAAAATAATTAGAGTTTCAATAGTTGTAATCCAATTTTGTGTATTTATGTGGGACCCATCTACCCCACTTTAGGGGTGGAGGTAGCTAACTATATATTAATTGTACAAATGAGAACATAAACAAAACTTTAATTTGGAATTAGCAACTCAACATTGGAAGAGTTATGTAAGTTCCTTCATTTCTCTCTTGAAAATTTTCTCTTAGAATCTTATAATTAAAATTTTATTTAATCACTCTGATTTTTCTTTATGTTTTTTTCGTGAACTTCTCTTTACAAGTAAATATAATTTATACTCTAATAACAGTTGTGGTGAGATTGATAGAATCCTCATACTTAATCTATAAGTCAAAAATCTCAAATTCAATGAGTAGTAAAAATCTCGAATTCAAGTTCTAGATTATTTTTTTTTTGTTAGAAAGAGTTTTCCTTTTAAATGTGCCTTACACCATATAAATCCCGATGAGTAGTGAAAAACCAAAAAATATATATAATTCAAGACTTTTCCATCTTTAGTTAATTCATTTTTTTTCGTTGTTGTTTATCTTTTCGATTTTGCTTGATTATATTTTTTTAGCTAAGAGTCGATTTGAAACAACTTAAACACAAGGTTAACGTCTTTTTTCGTATATCTTACCCTTCTCAAATTTCATAAAATTATACTGGATATGTTATTTTCTTTTATCTTTTCATTTGCTTATTGATATTGATTTTATTTTTTTGATTTTGCAAGTTTCCAGCTAGTTTATTATTTCTTCTTTTATACTTTGTTCTTATATGAATTATGAAGTTGCTACTTTTTAATTCTAGTTGACCTATAGCTTTGTTTACTTCAAATGCATGCCAGAAAATAATTGCTTTGTTTCCAAATTATGACCTTTCAAGAAAGTTTTATATTTCACTTAATTTTTTTCTGAATTTAAAGATATCATTTTTATTTGTATTGTGTTAATATCTTAAATGTTTAGGTAAATCTCTTTTGTCATTATTGTTATTTCATACTATCATTCTGGCGTTTGATTGGGACCTTTAAAGGACTTCTGCTTGACTTCTTGTATCTTATTCTTCAATTTTTACGACTATCTGTTACTTCGATTGCTTTGTTCGTTTAGATTACACTTATTTTGAACCGAATGTTTATTAGAAAGTCTTCATAAAGTAGACCCCGAGATTATACTGGATATGTTGTTGTTTGGCTGACTTCTTGTTTACTGTTTCAATCTTGAGATATTTCCTCATTTTCTTGATTTGGGGTTCTCTAAAAATCTCCTATTTTATTCATCCTGTTGAAATATAATATAGTCTTTATGTGATCCTCCAAATATAATGATTTTGATTGCAGAAAAGGTTATCTTTTTTGGCTTACAGATAGAGTTCTGCAAAACAATCAACATATTATTAATTGTCTTATATGTGTATTGGTTTATGTGTATTTCATTTTCAATATTCACTAAATGTTAGTAATTTGTTATGAAGGTCACACTATTCCAAATATGGTCATTTAAGCCTTTTGTTCTTTTTTGGCATGTGAGGTAAAGAATGATTGGTAATTTGCACCTTTTCTGAAAATACAAGTGAAATCATGTTTGTTTTGTTCATATCTAAAGTGTTTTTGAATGCTATAATCTTGCAGTTTTTCGGTTGATATATGCAAAAAGGAGGAAACGGGTGTTTTCTGGTGTTTGTGAACTTGTAATATGGGTGGATGTGTGTCGAGTCCGTCTAAGAAGATTAAGTTAAAAGGAAAGTACATTCCCAAGACTCGTAGGTTTCGAAGAAAGGCACCATGTTCTGTTTCTGTTGCACCGATAGAGCAACTTACTGATGCGGGAGAGTATGCAAGAGATGTTGATGTTTGTGAGTTTGTCACAGTAGACTACGAGAGCAGGACGTCGAGTCCTGCATTTCATCATTCCCTAAATTATCATCAAGTTGATGTAGCCGGTATGGATACTTCTAATAGGCCTTAAGGGTTGTTTTAATTGGTATTAGAAGTGTATAACTTCCGAGGGGTTTTTTGATTTACAGGATTAAGCCAAGAGGAAGCATGGTTTGATACTTGCAGTGTCCTCGACTCAGATTCAGACGAAGACTTCACTAGTGTTCTTGGAGGTAATCGATAAATCCTAATCCATATTCCAACAGTAATTTACCAAAAGAAGCTATTTTTGAGTTCTCGTTGTAATTTTGTGTCTAGAAATTTGCCCTTCACTCGTCGTTGCTGCTGGGAGTGCATTAGATCATCAAAGCCAAATTGAAAGCAACTTGCGCTTTTATGATACTATCAACAACAATGATATACCATGTGTAAGTGATACTAAATGAAAAGTTTTGCTTCATGTCCTTGGTTAGCCTTCCGAGTCATTCGTCTGTTGATTCTCGATGCTTGATTCAGGTAGATGGAAGTTTTACTAAGAGGAGAAATGTTGCGGAGGATCTAAGTTTGACATCTCAACGAAAGAAGTTATCAGTTGTAACACTTGCTGATAGTAAGATACTGCATAATCAAGACACGACGACTGAGTTTTGTGAGTGTCACTGCAAATACTAATGCATAGTCTGCCTGATTCTTTCGAAATACTAATGTTTCTGAAAATGAACATTCTGCTTGTATCACATAACTAGTATACTTTCATAATCTAAATGATTTTATAAAAATCCAGGTCCTTCAAGAAGATTATTTTATCATCCAAAAGCAGGATTTCTTATTCCACATTCCAGTAATGTGAAATCGACTCAAGGATGTTGGAGTCCGGTTTCTCCTTCCATATTTAAGCTTCGAGGCACGAATTACTTCAGGCATGTTACTATGGTTACATTGTGTACAATAAGATTTGCAAGTATTTCTTGTTTTGCTCTGCATTCAAGCTTATAAGACTTGTATATATCTCAAATGCAGAGATAAAAGGAAATTTCCTGCCGCGAATTGTTGCCCTTATGTACCTATTGGTGTTGATTTATTTGTTTCTCCACGGAAGATATCTCACATAGCGCGGTATCTTGACCTTCCCTATGTAGAGCCACATGAAAAAGTTCCATCATTGCTTGTCGTCAATATACAGGTCCATAAATAAGACTTGGGACATTTTCTTGACAGTATTAACATTTATTCTGTTAGCTGTGATTAAGTGCATGAACTAAGGCTCATTCGTGGATTTTGTTATCGCAGCTGCCTAGTTACCCTACTTCGATGTTCCTTGGGGAAAACGATGGAGAGGGGATGAGCCTTGTACTATATTTCAAAGTATCAGAAAATTTTGAAAAGGAGGTTTCTCCACAATTTCAAGACAGTATAAAGGTAATAGGCTGTTTTTCGTTTTCTTGAGTACTACTTTCTGTCATCTGGATTACATGAAATGATCCGTTTCTACTTGTTCTTATCGCAGAGACTTGTAAAGGATGAAATGGAAACCGTAAAGGGTTTTGCAAAGGAATCAACAGTTCCTTTCAGAGAAAGACTCAAAATTATGGTTGGTGTAGCCAATCCTGAAGACCTTCATTTAAACCCCGCGGAGAAAAAGCTTTTACATGCATATAATGAAAAACCAGTGCTTTCACGTCCTCAACATGCGTTCTATGAGGTAATGTGTTCTCAATTCTGAACTTTAATACTCCCTCCGTTCTCAAAATACTTGTCATGTTTCACTTTTCGCGTGTTAAACTACATGAACTCTGTCCAGCATTTGGAAAGAATTGATTTTCGATGGAGAAGGGAGAGTATACATTGGATAAAATTCTCATAATACTTAGTACCAGATGTATTTGAAACATTTTTTTGAATCTCACAGATGATTTTTATGCAGGGAGACAGCTACTTCGAAATAGACTTGGATGTTCATCGTTTCAGTTACATTTCCAGGAAAGGATTTGATGCATTCCGAGAACGGTTGAAACATGGAATTCTTGATCTTGGATTGACAATTCAGGTATAGTTATCAGAAGTTCAGGTGGAAACTGTTGATAGTCCGGGAGTGAAACTTGTGAAAAAGTGATAATTACCATTAGCTAAACAAAAGGACATAATTTTTACCTTGATTTTGTTCTTGATCTGAGATATATTTGTATTGTAATGCAGGCACAGAAGCAAGAGGAGCTGCCAGAGAGAGTTTTGTGCTGTATTCAATTGAACAAAATTGATTTTGTGAATTGTGGCCAAATACCTCAACTTATTATTCCTATTGATAATAATTGAGAGAGCTAGGGAAATAATTGTAAATATTTTTGCAACAAGAAAAAAAAAACTAAATTCTGAAATGTAACAATTACATCAATTTTTATTTGTATCAAGATTGACAAAATATCAAAATAGTTTAGAACTTCTTCAATGAAATAGAAGTTGAATTTTCCCCTCTTGGTTATCTCAAATGAGAAATAACATTTATTCAATTCCATCTAGAGTCATCAATATGGGTTTGACACGTTCGGCCGGCCTGACCTAACCTGAGATTTAATGGGGTATGCTAAGATTTTTGGAGGCCATTTAAGAAATTTTTTTTATCTCACCCTGAATAAGCTTGCTGATTTGTGGACTTGAAAAATATTGGTAGGTCCGGTTCGTGGGCAATACAATTAATTAAAAAATATATAATATTCAAATTTAAAATTAAAGAGAGTCCAAACTTAAAATAATTAGTTTAATATTTCTATTTAGATATTTATACTTTTACTTGAAAAAAAACTTAATAAATATTATAAAGGTAGTTTTATTTGTGGATTTGATTAACAAGTAGTAACATTAACATCATCTAATATTGTTTTGTCAATATTTATGATAATATTTTTAAATTATAATTTATAATTTATAATTTAATAATTATAAAAAATTTATAATTTAGCAAGCCTATAGCCCACGTACTTATGAGTTGGGCCAACCGTTTTCTGACCCACACAAAAAATGAACTAATCCGGTGTGACTTGCAAAATATAAAAGCATGTATGAGTAGGCTAGCCCAGATGGAATGGGCTATATTGACAACTCTAATTCCATCTATGAACAAATAATAGGGAAATTACATAGGATGACAAACATTCCTAAGTAATTATATAATAAGAATATAGTTTAATTTATTTACTTTCTATAATTATAGTTTCTTTTTTTTTTGTTGTTGTTATAATTAATGGGGTCCACCACCTATTCCTAAACCAATAGTATAAAAACTTTTTTTTTTAAATTTTGTATATAATTTTATACAAATCAATATTATCTCTCCTATTCATATTCCACCTTTTTCTCCTATAATCAATATTTCTATCCGATTTTGAATTTCAAATTGGCAAAAATTTAATTTATCCCTTCCGAAATTGAATTCAACTTTCACATGTAATCCTAAAATTTAGTCGTGTACAATTTTTTTCCTTATTCAACAATTGTATATGTAGTGTTTCTTACTTTTTTCATATTTTTTTGGTGAAATAATCGATTGTTCTTATTAGATTACAAATTCTTCAAAATCAGAATGAGTGAATCATCTTCATCTATGAGGTTTACCAGAGGTATTCCATTGCATGTCAATTTTGTTGACAATTTACCCTCGTTTTCAATGGGTTTAACTCAAGATTTTGGGGTTGATGTAGGGTCTATGGTAAGCCAAACAAGTTCAGCATGCACAAACAATGAAAGAATTGAGATCAAAGAAAAAATATGACCCTACGACAGTTCAAAAAGTTCTTAACAATGTCAAAGCTAGAGACATTAAAATTGTACAAGGAGGAAGAAAGAGGAAGCAGTAAACAGTGATTCATAAGAGAGTGCATTTGAAATTGACGGATCTGAAGAACATCACAATAATGAGGTAATGGCTTAAAATACAACTTTAGATACAATATTTTTGTTGCTTAGGTGTCAATATACAAAAAATTATTTGTTTAAGTAATTTTTCACGTAATTGTATGTAGTATATTGCATGTTTAGTACACACATGTTTTAGTTATTTGTATATATCTTTCTTTATTTATTTGTATATTCCTTTAGTTATTGTACGTGTCTGTAGATTTGATTAGTTTATACATATTTTAAGTTATGTATAATGAATAATATACTAAGTTTTAATAGGGGCAGTAGTGAATTGTATATTAAAGGTTCCATATTATTTTTGTTTTTGTATACATATACAAAAAGTAATTGTATTTAGTTATAGAGATGGGAAAATTTCATATATGATTATAATTTATATATTTTAGTAGTTATTTACAAATTATTAAAATTAAGTATATATTAAGTTTATATATTATTGTAGTATATACAAAGTCATTTAGACAATAGTATATATTGACATGTTAAAGTACTATATTTATGTACATATACTAATATGCAAAAAAAGTAAGTTTGTATATATATACAAAAGAAACGCAACTATAAATGTATATTTAATTTATACTTTTTTTGTTATGTATACAAAAAATGTATTTATATGCCTGTATTTTTAGGTAGTCAGATTTATTTGCACGAACCGTTAAAAAAGGACAATTCACATGCAATGTTATACGCAAATCAATACATTGATTGAGCTTCAAAATAACTGCCTCCAAATCAATATAATTGTATCTGTACATCATCGTGTTTTGCACGGTTGACAACAATGAGACGATGTCATGTGCAAGCACAATTGTTTAGATGCTTTATGTTGAGGGAGTTGGAAGGTAGTTCTGTCAATGCAATACTTTTTATATAAATTGCACAACGCTTCGATTCACAATGAGGGAGTTTACAATAATTTCTGGTTTGAATTGTTCTGATAATGTTGTTGTCTTCTGCTTTGATACTAATCAACCCAATAGAATCATCGCTGAGTATTTTCCAGGCAATTCTCCTGTCACTAAAGGTCGATTGGTTGAAGCTTTTAAAGCAAAGGTATGGGGTAACAATCAGGAAGATGCATACAAGTTTGAGATTCTATATTATATACATGAATTTATCACGTCCACCGAACCTACTACAACAACAATAGATAGGTTGAACTTTGATTTGGTTAAAATAGGTAGATTTATGGATTATCCGTGGGGTCTGAAGGCTTTTAATGAACTTGCCAAATCGATCAACAACAAGAATCACCCATTGGAAATTTTCATCACCAGCCCACTTTCAAACAAAATTTTATTTCAAATCATTCACATAAATCATTTATACAACTAATACAATACTTTTATACAATCAGATTATTAAATAATGACAAACTTATGTTTACACTTATCTTCTTTCTAATATACAAATACTACTTCAAAAAAAGTATATAATTGTATTCTATGTGTTTTCATCTTAAAAAATTTATATAGATTTTCAACATATACATACTTCAGTATTTGTATATGCAAAATTAGAAATTACAGAACGTATACTACACAACTATATCACAGGTAATGCAAATAGATACAAAACTAAAATTTCATACTTATATACAATTAAATTGCATGACTTTTGTATACAAAAAAACTTAATATACAACTGAAAATTGAAATTACTACTACAATATACTGCCGTTTACGATAAACATTGAAACCAGTTTTCAAAAGAAAAACACTCCAAAAATATTTATATACACTTACGTTATAGACATATACAATTCTTAACACATTAACAAATGCACATATATCCAAATTTATAAATCCAATAGAACGTTGTATAATTATTGCAATAATAAACATGAATTTTCATTCAATGAACCATTACCTGTATTCGAATATACAGAAAAAAAAATTAGATGAACTGCTGCTTCGTCAAAGCGCAAAAACAAGTTTATCTTGTCTTTCAATTGCTGTATACTTCTTATTTTTTGAAAAAATAAAATAAAAATTTAAACATTTACCTTAAATTATGGCATTATCTAAATTTATTGTTAGCTTATTTAACGCTTCAGTTACAAATCACTTTTTCTAAAAGAAAATTGTATAAATAAAAAATAAAAGAAACGTTATATATAAAATTAAAGATACCTAAATAACTAAATTATACCATAGAATATAATTAGGTAAACTATACCCATATAATGTTACCTAATCAATTAACTTTGCCATATATGAAATTTTCCCAAAATAATAATGACGTGTCATGAAGATTATTCATCAGTTATAAGTCCTTCAAAAACAAGTAGAAGACCTTAGAACAAGTTCAACTAATTAAAATCTAGACAAAAAAAATGATACAAACTAACATTTTACCAGCTCATTTAGACTTTGAAGCAAATTCAACCCTACTAAATAAAACATAAATAATCATAAATTCATAACAGAAAGTAGATTGTCCAAAAACTTAATGCAACATCATTCAGATTCACATAAAAGGCCTAATTATAAAACGATTACAAGATAAAAGACCAAAACATGTGGGAATATAGAAGCATTTACAGAAAGAATGCATATAGAAATACCATAGCTAAAAACTCTATGCTCCTTTTGAGAACATTTACAAACAATTTTATATTCAAACCACTCTTTCCTGACCTATTATTTCGTGTCAACGCAACTTCTGTACCGTTTTTCGTTTCATGATTGTTGGGAAGAGACCATCATCAACATTGCAAACGCGAGAACTACAACCATTCAGTAATAAGTTACAGCCATCTACTGGCTGCCATGTTGATTACCTTGCTGGAATGAAGATTTGATAAATCATATACTTTGCTCTTCTTTGAAACGTAGAAGCGCTATAGGTTGTTGTTCATTGCTCTGAAAGTCCGCTCTTCGCATTGCAGCTGGTCTATCAACTACAGGGTTGTGTGGCCTCAATTGTGACATAGAATTATTGGCTGTATTGTGGCTACTATTCCTGGCTGCAGGCACATCATGATTATGTTTACCTTCGTATGTTGTTATGACTGCTTTAGGGTCACTTGCAGCCCGTTCAACATGCTTTCTTACATTACATCCCTGGCTGGTACACTTGTAATAGCTTCTGTAGAAAATAACAAGGGGTATAAAAATCATGGCAAGCAAAACAACAAGGCAGCTGGCTGTGCACTTATTGAGTTATATGGACACTGATTAGCTAATTCGATACTCGCATACAGAGGCAAAGGGATACCACAGCACTTCATTTGAAACATGGAATTCTAAACGAATGCTGCAAAATGAAGGTCGCAGCAACCAAGATATATGACACCAATGATTAAATGCAATGAAAGTCAAAAGTCAGCAAGGTTATTGTAAAATATACTCTAGTAACATAAATAGGAAGGCGAATGTAAACACGAAGGCTCTACAACTAAAATTTATATTTAAGGTTCACTTTATCAACAAAATTGATGGAATTGGACCTAAAAGCCATTTAAGTTCGAGATTGACTAGGTAT